TAAGATACCTAATATATACTCACACACGTCGAGGCTGAAAAAGTAATTTGATAATATAAATTCTTAAAATGTATATTAATAAAAGATTGATATTCGAATTTTAAATATTTGATGATTCAAATTCTCCAAGATCAATTATATAAATATTAAATCAGTAAAAGTTTTTTTTATATAAAATTATAAATATCTTATTTACATTAAAGCTAATGTGGATTGGTTTAATTGATTAACCATTCGTTATTACTTTGACGAGAATTAAGATTCAAATCTCATCAACAATTTTACTTGACCTAGTTAAAAAATATACATACAAATTTTCATTTGTCCCATAGTTTAATCTTCGGTTTAAGCATTTTGATTTGATTTAAAACAAATAAAATACTATAATTATTTTTTATTAGTTTGAGGTGATTACATTGTAGTATATATGTTCGAAAGACTTTCAATTATTTGACAATAAACGCTCAAACACTCATGCAGACGTTATGCTCAAACCTAAAACCTCTAAAGATAACAATAATTATTTAATTACTGAAATCACTTAATTCGTACAAATTGAATACTATAAGTTAATATAACTAAATGGATTTAATCGAATCATTATTGAATTGATATATACACATATTTCTACTTGTGGATTAAGTTAGGTGGGGTGAAGGGTGATGGAATCTTAGCATGAGAATATGAGATATGCTTCTCTCAATCATTTTCATCCCCATCTTTCTTTTACTTCCATCAACTTTTAATTTTATGTATTTTCCTCCAATTATATGAACATTATTAGCAATTAGTATTTATTTTAGTGATGTTTTTCATATTCGTTTACTTTAAGTGTATTAAATATTTTTTTAAAAGTGGTTACTTTTTAATAAATATTTAGAGTATTTATTTTTAAAAATTATTATCTGTTTTTTTCTTTAACTTTTCTCTTTCAATTCCATATGACAAAACAATTATCTCCTTTTAACCTACTTCATAATTCTTGAGGAAACTTCTCATGTTTCAAGCACAAATCAAAGTGTTCTTTTTAATAATACGGGGATATTATAAAAATATCATTTATTCATAATTTTTTAATCAATTAATAAAGAATGATATATATTTTAATCGATAATTATTCTAACTCAAGATTTTTAGAAATAACAATATTTTTTACTATTGAGATTGTTTGATGAATTTATCAAAATTTTCAGGAAATTCTAAAATACTTGTTAATATAAGGTTAAAAATGACAATCAGATACAATAAAAAAATATTACTAAAAACGTAACTTTTTAAATTGAATAGAATAACTTTTTAGGTTGGATAAATTGTAATAAAAAATATTAATTTTTTCATAACAATTTTTGTTGTATGCTCTAAACTATCATAATATAACTTTTCAGTTGCGACGAAAAATGTTATAAATTTATATAATTTTTAGGTTAAATATGATAATATTTACAATTAAAATCATCTTAAATTAGCCCTAAGTTGTTGTATGGTGTAACTATTTGAAGTTTTTTTTAGAAATATAAAAAAATAGACAAAATAGTACTCACTTTTCTTTACAAAAGCGTGGGTCACACTCTCGAATCTTTGTTAAGAAATATCTGTATTTACGTTGGGAAAGTTTTATGTGCGACAGTGTTAATATATAATTAAGGAAAAATGTTATCAGTTTTATTATTATTTTTTAAATAAAATTGGTAAAAAATTACTGGAAACATTATTATTTCTACCGGTTTTTTTATTATTGGGCGTTTTACTGGTTTTGTTAACATATCCGATAAAGCGCTACATAAAACATTATTTTTTCTACTGATTTTGTTATTATTGGGCACTTTACTGGAATTGTTAAAAATCATTAATGTTTTAGATAGAAATAATAATGTTTTAGATAATTTTTTACCCATTTTATTAAAAAAATAATAACAAAACCAATAACATCATTTCTTAGCATTAAATTAAAGTTGTCGTACGATAAAACTTCAGTCACGGCCATTGTTTTCCTTTTTTCCATTTTTAAAAAGGGTAAACTACTCTAATGGTAACTAATGATTAGGTAAATTTTCGTTTTCATCACTGATATTTTAAAAGTTACAAATCGGTCACTAGCATTATCATTTGTTACAAATTGGTCACTCGCTATTAACAGGCGTGACAGAAAACACACGTGGCCTGTTAACAACAGTTAACATGCTTATCTAGATGGTATAATTACACAAATAGTCCATGTTATTTATATATTCTTTCAATTTGATCATAGTTTTAATAAATTAAAATATATTTATTTTTAATTCTTATAAATAATGATATATTTTATAAAAAATGAAATCAAAAATTTAAAATTAGTTATAAAATAAAAAAATTAACGTTTTTTTAATGTTAGGATAAACTAATAAAAACAAAAAAAATTAACGTTTTTTTTAACACCCAATAGCCTTGGTAAAACCCAATTACCCAAGTGGTTCCTAATTACGCCTCTGTACGTCGCTAAAACCAAAATCCATTCTTCGAGACCCATCAGAGTTGAGTTTAATCCATCAGACCGGTGGAGGTTCCCAGCAGCGAGACCTATCCACGCATAGACGATAATCGATGATGGCTTCCCTCCTTGCCTCCATAGCACGCACAGTCCCTGTTGTCAGTCTGCAACTTTCATGGAGCACTCTTTCATAAGAGAAAAACCCAGGATCGAAAATAGAACAATTTTTTATCTTCCATAAACACCAAATGACATTTCCAAACTATAAATCCCAATCAACCGACACGACTGGAAAGCGCGACCGACCACGTAAGTTTTGCTCGATCCAACTAACCATGTCGAGTTGCATGAACTCACCCATGAGTTCCGATTTAATTACATTAACCCACGTCTTACATGCTACCAAACAGTCCTGGAGAATGTGTGAAATAGACTCAACCGCAACACCACATATTGAGCAGCCCGGATCCAAAGCCATGCACCGTCGCACCCTTTCTTCGTTTGATGGCAATCTGTTCTTGCAAATAAGCCACAACAGAGATTTAACTCTAGGTAAACCCTGATAATTTGATAAGAGTTTCCAGATGGGCTGGTCGATCTCCTCAGCAACTGATAACCTTTGCATGTAAGCCACATATATCTTGATAAGAGGTTCCAGTTTGGGGAAGAAAAAAATGTTATTTTATTAAAAAAAGCGTTAATTTTTTTATTAGTTTACCTTAAAATTTAATTTTTTTTGTTTTATAACTAATTTTAAATTTTTGATTTTATTTTTTTAAAATATATCATTATTTATAAGAATTAAAAATAAATATATTTTAATTTATTAAAATTAGGATTAAATTGAAAGAATATATAAATAACATGGACTGTAACATCCTCAATATTGGGTTAGAAATTAAAGTGTAAGATTTTAAAATTCAATGACCAGATTAAATAAATTGAAAAGTTCAGAAATTAATTAAAGGATGTTGGTGTAGGATGAATTAATAAATGAAGGATAAGTAAAAGGGTAAATGAGTCATTGAATAAGGAAAATAATTAAATAATAATTAGTGGGTATTATAATACCCATGTGGAGCATGTTGGGAAACAATGTTTCCAGATATTTCCCATCTTCTTCTCTTCTCCAACGTGAAGCCACAAGCCAAGGTAAGTTTGATTTATTTTGGTTAATCCTTAAAATTCAAGAGTGCGTTTTGATCCTTAAGTGATACTTAAGTTAAAGGAAAGCTTAAGTTGTATTATAGTCAAAAGATGAAGAAGTTATGAAAGATTAAAGAGAATGGGTTTCAAAGTGAATTTTGAATAAGAGTGTTTAAATGAATTTGGAGGTTGAATTTGACTTGTCATCTATGAGAATAATAAGTTATAAGTGTTAGAAATAAGTTTGGATAACATGGAAAATTTGGTATGATTTTTAGCCTTAAGAATTTGGATGAAATATGAGAGATTATAAAGTGTTGGAATGATAGAAATTAGTTAAAGTTGTTATAGATGAGTTTAGTAGCATAATAAGGGATGTATACATGAAAATTTGGGTGAAGTGTAGATGATTTTTCGGGTGAAATCAGTTTATTCTGGACATGTACATCGGTACACTATGAATGGGTACCAATGCACTAAGATCAATTTTGAAGGTGCTTCGATGCATTAAGGAGTTCATCGATGCATGGAAATTTCGAAGTTATTTTGGGTACTGATGCACCCATAGTGCATCGGTACACTCCTAAAGGAAATTAGGAATATGAGTTTATTAAATTCATTTAAGTTAATAACATCAAAGTATAAGGTTTAGACTTCTGATAATCATCTTGAAAATTATATTTATGTAGATACAGAGCCTAAACAAATTCTAGAACAATCGAAGGATTATGATTTATTCAAAGCAAACAAGGCTAAGGTGAGTGCAATTTTAATTGTACTTATGTTATTAAACAAACATTGACTTGCGATGAGTCAGTGATAGACTTAGTGAGACATAACATATAATAATAATAATGCATTTCATATACATGTGAACGTATCATCTACTTATTCAATCATATCAAATTCTAGAACATTTTAGGAGTTTGTTCTTACCATAGTAACTCCATCACTGACTCATCGCAAGTCAATGTTTGTTTAATAACATAAGTACAATTAAAATTGCACTCACCTTAGCCTTGTTTGCTTTGAATAAATCATCCGCTCCAGCAGGTGAAAATGATATGATTGAGAATAAATTAATTAAATTCAAGCATTTTCTTTCCTTCCTATTCGATTTTTTCATAAAAAACGAGCTTCGATTCTTTATTACATCAATATTTATATTGATCATTTGTCATATGAAGAGAGAGATGATATGGAGGGCTTAGCTTTTTTAATTTTTAATGCGCAGTGATTCACAGCCTCTTCTTTAATTCTCTTGAGATAAAACGATTTCTGGAAGCTTTGGCCTGAGATTCTGTCCGGTCTGTGATCGGAGTGCTCGTCTCCGGCGGACGATATGCGGCTGACTCTCTCTGTGTGCTTTTTTTTCTTGTTTGCATAAAATGATGAGAATAGCTATGGATTTGGGAGTCCGGCGCCGGCAGAGTATTTAAAGAGACATCATAGGCATGAAACCGGAGAGAATCAGTGTAGATCAGCTCTTGTTAAGCTCATCAAAGCTCCTGTCCCTCTGGTTACTCTCTCTTTTTCTCTTTCTCTATCTTTACGTTTCGTTTTGGATTTTGTAGATGTTTTCGTTTTGTAGAAGGATTAATCTCTTGATCTGTGGTGATTTTCTTTTGTAAAAACAAGAGAAGATTGAATCTAATTGCCTACACTCAATTGATGGAACTCTCCCATATTTTTATTTTTTCTGAGTCCTCGGATAATATTATCTTGAAATCTATTACTCAAAAATTACTCCAAGCTTGGGTAAAGTTATTTAGGTCTTAGATTCTTTTGTATTGCTAAATGCACGATTGTTATTCCTATTATTATCAACATTATGCTGAAAAAAATTCAATCCCTGGGTAATAGATGTTGAAAAATTAGAGGAAGTAACAAGTGAACACTCGATTTTTAGAGGAAGTAGTTGACGAGAGAGAGCAAATAGAGAGTCATAATTTAGACTTTGAGTTCAAATTCTGGACATACTAGAAATGTTTAGTATAAATTCAACAAAAAAACTAGTGTTTATATTTAAACACTAGAAATTTAAGAGCTTATAATAGAAATGTATGATTTTTTTTTGAAATATCCACAACAACAGATAATTAATAATGAATATTCAAATCATGTAGATTAGAAACAACGCATTTTGTCCACACTTCTAGAGTTTGTTTCTTATATTTTGTGTGTGAATTTGATATCTATTTCACTTTGGTCGGATTTCTTTTCTGTCATCTGAACTCGAATTTTAATCTTCATACACAGGCATTATAATTACTTATTTATTTAAGCGTTAGAACTCATTATTTTCAAGAATATGCATAATTTTCTTCTCCCAACTTTGTATTGATGTGTCTCTTTACAGGTTTGGTCTTTGGTGAGAATATTTGATCAACCCCAGAAGTATAAACCTTTTGTGAGCCGGTGTGTGGCACGAGGAGACCTTGAGATCGGGAGTCTTAGAGAAGTTGATGTCAAGTCCCGGCTTCCGGCGACTACAAGTACCGAAAGACTGGAATTCCTTGATGATGACGAGCATATCTTAAGCATGAGGATTATTGGTGGGGATCGCATACTTCAGGTTTCTCTTTTTTATTCTCTATCCTTTGCCATATATCTCCTTTAATTCTTAACACAAAGCAATTTAAAGCGTTCGTTTGCTGGTTGCTGATTTAACGCAAAGCAACAAGAATCATTGATTTGTGTCTTCACAAGTTGAATTTATTGAGCAGCTTCATTGGTAAAATGAAATGTTGCTCGATCTAAGATAGAGTAGATATATCTACAAAGTGTCTTGTCGATAAACTAAGAAAAAATTCGGATAATGATTACTCAGTTCGATACTACACATTAAATTACTGTTTTAAATAGGATAAAGTATCAAATGGTCAATTAACAACCAGTTAATGCCTCATTTTTATACTGACATGAAAGTTAATGATGTGATGGCCAATTTTCATCGTTTTTATTAACAACGTTGATTCAAACCAAACCAAAAAAAAAAGATGAATGAAAGACGATCATTTTGATATTGTTCTTGCAACAAATAGTGACTGGAGACAAGAAGCAATTACCGATGATGATAACTGAAAGAGTTGACGGTTTTCAATAGAAAAACAAGCAGCCACACCATTATCACCGTTAAGGATTTAATGATACAACGCCCCAACTGAAACACAAATTAAAATTCAATGGTACTACTGAAACGTTTTAAAATTTAATGCTAAAATTGATGCACAACCTAAAATGTTTAATGGCTAATAGTATAGTTTACCCAAATGATAATTTCAATAAAGCATACGACCAACACATTTTAAGCTTTTTAAATACAATAACTATTTAATACTTGAACCAAAATCATTGAAGAATGAGACTTTGGAACTATATATGCACTTCACTCAAAATAGATCAAGACTTCATTATAGTCACCTTAGGCCTAAGTTCAAAATTTCGCCCCGGAATGGTACATTTCAAAGTGGGATTCAACACGAAGCATCGAATGGTCCCTCCTGTCTTAACCACAGTTTCCATAACACATCTTATTTTTTGTTATGATTATGGTGGGGAAAGAATTGCAAGAAATTATGTAAAATAAATTACCTGTGCTGCTTAAAATACATTGTACAGAGCTTCCCCTACAATCAAGTTAGATCTCAGGTTACGGATATCGAGTTATATAGTTTAGGCCAATACCAGCTCCCCCTCTTCCTGCGCTTCTTGTTGTTCGGGAAAAGGTCCTTCTCGGAACGGGAGAAGAATGCGCTTTATTTCTTCTGCGTTAAGTGTTTCGTACTCCAAAAGAGCATTTGCTAATTCGTGTAATGCCTTCTCTTGCTGAAAAAAATGTCAAAGTGTTGATTGAATTTTTTGATAGAATGATCGATCTTTAGTTCCAATGTGCATATGGAAATACTTCGCAGAAATTTAACATACACAAAGTTGGACGCATACTCTTATTACAAGAGGGGTTTCATGAACATACCTTCTTTAACAGGGCTTTCACACGATCGTATGCTTCTCTTAGAAGCTTTACAACCTGCATAACAAAATTAAAACAAATTAAGAAGACACCTTTACCAATCATAAATCTACCTTGCAGGAACATACTTCAGCATCAATGCGAGATTGCATTTCTGAACTTGGTCGCTCTTTAATATTAACTGGTCCAATTGCATCACTCATCCCACAACTTGATACCTGGCATTGTAAATCAAAGCCATAAGAAATTGCCCTAGCTTTGGAAAATTCTTTTCCTTATTGGTTCATATATAGTTTACTATGAACTGGAAAGACAAATATAGAAATGGAGAATTACGGATTAAAGAAAACACTTTGAAAGATACCATATATTGAGCAAGCTCTGTAGCCGTATGCAGATCACTGCTTGCACCGGTTGTGATATGGTCCTGACCAAAGATGAGTTCTTCTGCAACTCTTCCTCCCATACAAACATCAAGACGAGCTAATAATTGCTTCTTACTGATTGAAGTCTCATCGGTTGATGGCAGCTGGGTAACCATTCCCAAAGCAGATCCCCGGGGCATGATTGTAGCCTTGTGGATTGGAAGTGCGCCTTCGGTATTGAAAGCAACAATTGCATGACCACTCTCATGATAAGCAGTAAGCTGAAGTTATGTGCAACAGTATCAGCAAATAAAAGACATCTTACTTTAAACATCTGCTTTTGCTCCTGCCTAAAGTAATACTAAGAAAATTTGATACCTTCTTTGAATCTTCCGATAGAAACATTGTTTTACGTTCGGTACCCATGAGAATCCTATCTTTAGCATGCTCCAACTGTGAAGCAGTCAGTTTATTTGCACCTTCAACTGCAGCTTTAATCGCAGCAATATTCACCAAGTTTGCCAGATCTGATTGACAGAGTAATAGGGAAAAATTATAAAGAAAATAAGAATGTTCACAGGAACCGGGAACTTTTTTCAGTTTATGCAGAAAATGTTACCCGCTCCATTGAATCCAGGAGTACCACGAGCAATTGCTTTGACATCCACGTCATCAGACAAAGGTTTATCCTGTAGGTAGAGTTCCAAAATCTGTTGACGACCTCTTACATCTGGATTAGGGACAACAATCTAGAAGATGGGCTGTGTAAGTCTTCTCTATAGAGAAAAGAACATGAAAAAAGCAAATATCTATCTTGTAAGACTAACAATAGTCCACAGCCAAAATTAGATTATACTCAACAATCCAGTTATATAAGCAATCACAAACTGATGCACCGACTTATCTATGATGAAGTGCAAAAAATCTTCAGGGCATGCTGCCAGGCAGATGGATGGCAGGGAGGGGGTGTACTCTGTTTAAGCCTCAAGGAACCAACACTGTTTGTCATTATTGATTCCTCTAAGAACAACTTTGACCGTATATGATATCAAACACCCAAGACTCAACAAAACACTAATAATTGGAGCACTTACATGCCTGTCAAATCTACCAGGTCTTGTCAAAGCTGGATCAAGAATGTCAGGTAAATTTGTTGCAGCCATCAGAATTATTCCCTGAGAGATATAAAGGTTAAACAAATTCCAAAAGTAAAAAAAAATTATTGATATATGAAGCTTGTTTTAATATGCCTCATTCTGTTCAAAACCATCCATTTCGACAAGCAGCTGATGCAGCGTTTTTTTGGTATGGCCTTCCCATTGTTTCCGTGTGGATCCAACAGCATCTATTTCATCAATGAAAATGATACAAGGAGCCTATAAAATATGAAACATTGTTGATTGGCATGATTAGAAGGTATGAAGGGCAATATATCAATCAATCAAAATAAGTCCCTCAACCTAGTAATAATGAACATCAACCTTCTTTTTAGCTGCTTGAAAAAGGGATCTCACACGCCGAGCACCAACACCGACAAACCTGCCATAGAAATAGAGAATGTCAAACAAGATATCTATCACCACATAATCCTCAGAACCAACCAATAGTATACAATATCCGCATGGAAATCCATAGACGAGAGTGGCCAAGCAAAGATGAAATAAGAGGGTGGCTTACATTTCCTCAAATTCAGATCCCGCTCTATAAAAGAAAGGTACCCCAGCTTCCCCAGCTATAGCCTTCAAGGTCACAGAAACCAAATTTCATTATAACACACTTCGAAATATATTCTGGAACCACTTACAGCAAAATGGGCTGTTTTACTGCGGCTAAATTGAGTTGTAATGAGTGTTAGAACTTGACCTGAATTTGATTTGATTTTAATTTATTGGAGGAAGTAAAAAAACCTAATTTTATTGAAAGTAGGAAGTTTATTCTATTTTATGTTAATTGATAGTAGCAAACATAGTTTGAGTAGATTTCTTGCCATATAAGTTGTTTTATAACCAATCAACTATCCCCATAAATAGATATTAGGGATTAGGATTATAAGTCAAGTAGTTCATGAAGATTCCTCCTTTATTCTTCTATTTCCAGCATGAGTGTAAATCCTCCTCTTTTGTCCCTGTTTTTCAGAAAGAGATTTTCACGTAAAATCTCAATGTATATTTATTGTGCGATCACTATACTTGTCGTTATCTTCTAACAAATTGGTATCATAGCGTCCGAGTTGCTTGTCTCAATCACGATAACGACATCCTTGAAATATGAAATTTTGCTATTAGATCGCAACATCAAATTTGCATTATGAGAGGTGGAGGTATGAAAATTTACAAGGGCCCTCTCATTATGATGAAATTATTTTTTTTAAATTCGGATGTTTAATTGAATTTGAGATTTTGTCTCGAATTCTTTGCACTTTCAGAATTCGTAAATTCTCTTCTTCTGCCCATGGTTTTTCTCGAAAAGGTTTTCCACATAAAATCTTAGTGTCTATTTTATTATGCGATCACTATACTTATTGTTATCTTCTAACAGTGAAACAAAAATCCTTGACATATTTAAGTGACCGTAAGTGAATATAAAAGAAAACCTTACCTTGGCCAGCAAAGTTTTTCCAGTTCCAGGTGCTCCAGTCAAAAGGATTCCCTGCAATTTTATAGTGAATAAGATAATACAAAATTAAGATCAAAGCAAAAAGGCATTAACTCAAGAAGTGAAAGAACTAAAGGAAACAAATTTCATCCCTTATTGTTCACATAAATGCACAATCATTCTTTATGGACTAAAGACTCGATAACTGCTTGTTATTTTCTCTCCCTCATGAAGGAAAGCTTGAAAAGCACAACCTAGAATCTGTAGCCAATCCCTTCCCAACCTAACACCCGAACTAATACTAATCTGACATGACTTCAGGCAATTTCTTGATATATTTGGTTTTCCTGGCATAGATATCACTTCTATATTTTCTATTTTATAGGATGCCCTTGATAAAATCTGAAATATAGATATATACAGGCAAGTGCAACAAATGGAGACCGAAAGAACGAGACATATTTCAAAACCATATTATCTGTGCAAACCTTTGGCAACTTTCCCCCAAGGCGAGTAAACTTTGATGGGTTTTTAAGGTACTCCACTACTTCCTCAAGCTCTTGTTTTGCATCATCACAGCCTTTGACATCCTTAAATGTTTAATATTCTGCAAATAAAATAATTAATGAGGAAAAGAAAACAAGTTCTAGAATTATCCATAACAAAACTAAAGCGTCATTTCTCTTG